TTTTTGTGGAACCTATGATAATTTTTTCAGGATTCTTTGAAAGCTAAAAAGATCAACATTTATTTTGAAATAGATGTTTTAGTCTTTACTGTCACTTTTAATCAATGTAATGTATCCTTGCTAAAAAAGTGTTAATTTAAAAACAAACACTTACTGGCCTCAAACTTTTGAATGGTAGCACAAGTCATATAAACCACGTTTATAATGTCTTTCAAACTTTTTGGAGCTTGACAGCCAGATACTTGACACTGTATGCTTTCTTTGTATGTAAAAGAGCAGTGTGAACATTCTGCTGAACTTTTCCTTTTGTACTCCTCAATAGAAATAAAAGAAAAGAAAAGTCATACAGGTTTGGAACAACATGAGCATGAGCAAATGATGACAGGCATTTTATTTTCAGGTCAGCAGCTTTGAAACACTGGATTGGCTGGGCTGTAATAATTGTATAATGTCCTTAAGACGGAATAAAGAATTGGCCTTGATTGCATCATCATTTAATTTCATTGTTAAGGAAGGAATTCAGTAGCAAAGCCTTAGCGCTAGAGAAGATAATGCCCAGTTTGCCCTTTGTACTCATGCAGTCCAATGAAAAACCTCCAAACACCATTCCTGACTCTTTGTTAAATAGTCTTTAGTGTCCAATAGCAACCGGTTGCGTCTAGAAAATAAGAACAGATACTGCTAAGCTCTATTTATGAGTAACTCAACTCTGCAATTATTACCACACGTTGTCTTTTGAAATAAAAATCTGCTTCAAGCAAGTGATGGGATCGAGAATGCTGTTTTACTGTCAAGCATTAACACCAGTCACAACACGCTGTGCATGAATGACAAGTTGTGCAGTCGTTGTTCTGATCCACGTCTGATCTCTGCTCTTTCACCAGACAGACACCAAGTGAGTGCAAAAAGCTCTCTTCTTTCAGCAGTGTCCTTCCTTTAAGGTCTCGACACACAAACAGCTTTGTCCTCACTGACAGAAATCTGCATGTGGACAATGCCTCCCTCCTCCTCGAATTTAAGAAGCCCCCACATTTCACCCCCTACCCTGCTTCTCACCCCACTTCACAAAAGGGGCCCGTGCTTCAACCCCCAGCTTGGCGTAAAACGCTTAAGAGCTCCACAATGCTCTCCCCTTCTCCATGGCAACAACAACGGAGAGCCAGTGCTTTTCAAAACTCTTTTTCCCAGACTTCCTTCAGAGGACGTCCATGAGGAGACCCAATAGAATGCTTTGGTTCCATTACCAGAGGATTTAGAAGGCGGTCAGCTTGCTTAATGCAAGTTAGCCAGTTGAAAGGACCAGCATATGTTGTGATTTGGTTGCTGGTCCCCACTAGGCTTCTTAACTACCTTAACCAGCACGATTTTCTTGGACCTTCTGGTCTAGCAATCACCAAAACAGGCACCAAACCAGCAAGGAAATTAATGCTGGTCTATGTCAGCATTAAAAGTGACCTGATAGCTTGATCTCTGCTTTTCTCTGAAAGGTTCACAGATTCCCTGCATGGTTTAGATGCTTTGAAACGCTGATACGAGATAAAGATTCCATACATGATGATTTAGAACGTGCCGCAATAAGGATAAAGACATATGCGCTGCCATTAACTGGAAAAATGTGTGCGCCACACGCTTTGCATCAGCTGCTGCGTGAGATTTCACTTAGACGAAGAGGGGATGGATGAAATACATCAAAGGTTCAAAAGATAAAGATGAAAAGATCAAAGATTATGAGAGGTGCCCTACCTTTAAAATAAAACTGTAGATCAAAAGTACGGCTGAAGAATTAACCACAGATGGTCTCTTCCTGGCAGCTCACTCTCTCAAATTAAATATCGAATTATCACTCAAAATCCAGAAGCTCTATAGATAAGGCTGAAGAAGTTATCTTGACAAACTGTTGTGAATGGAATGCACCCCTGGGATTCAGTCAAGTTTATTGAGTGAACGTAAAATGATGCAAAATAACTAGCACTAGAGATGAGGCTTTATGCTGGGAAAGCGAAGAACCACCGAGTCAACATGAATGTAGATGTTACTTCATATTCTGTAAGTGTAATAATTCAGATTTTAAAAATTTACAGTGTGCTTACATAAAACTGCATTTATATTAATGCAGTGGAAAATGTATGGACTAAAAGATATGTCCTTAGATATGTCCAATAAGCACAATGCATCATGTGTATCGAACATTTCTTTTTCAGTATTAAAAAATGAATGGTAATAGTTGGCTGAAACTTTAAAAACTTTTTGAACCTCAGGGAGCTTAACATGACAATGTTTTAAAAAAAATGTTTTTGGCACTTTTAATAAAGTGTCAATTCCTTCCAATTCAACCTTAAATTTCAAAAGGAACTGACAAATGGCCAAATTGGAATTGTGGAGGGAAATTTTCTTTCTTTACAAATATTGGTTCATATTCAGCTTTTGTTGTTGTTGTTGTATGTAACTCTGCAAGTGGTCCTGCATTTAAAATTCTACAATAATTCTCTATAATTAATCTGAAGCATTTAAAAAATATATTTCTAATAAAACATATGTAATTTATTTAATCTAAAAAAATATTTATTGAAAGTATTTATATTTATTAAATGCAAATTATCTTTAAAAATGTTTTTAAAATGTATATGCTAAAAAAGAAAAATGGTCAATTAAAAAAGGTATGCATATATACCTTAGTAAAAAAGTAATAAATTTAAAATAAATTTATTTCATAGTAAGTATAGTTCAAATCTATTAACATATTTACTGACATGTCGCTCGAGACTTACTAATATGAAAATTATAATTCAACTTTATTTGGAGTACTACTTGTGTGCAAGACACATTTCTTAATATTAAGCCTTAAATGTGTTTTAATGTCACTATTGATGAGGATTTAAATGCAAGATATTTAAAGTGTATCTAAAGTATACTTGCAATAGCTCCACTTTAGCACAATCAAATATAATTCAGTATATCTTTATTTGGACCTTAGCACTATTTCCGCACAATTTAAAGGGATAGTTCAGCCAAAAATGAAAATTCTGTCATTAATTACTCACCCTCATTTTGTTCCAAACCCGTAAGTCCTCCGATCATCTTCGGAACGCAAATTAAAATATTTTTGATGGAATCTGAGAGCTCTCTGACCCTCCCATAGACAGCAAGTGTCCTTACACGATCAAGGTCCAGAAACGCGGCAAGGATTTCGGTAAAATAATCCATGTGAATCAGGGGTTCAACCGTCATTTTACGAAGCTACGAGAAAACTCTGTGCGCAAAAAAAAAAAAAAGACTTTATTTAACAATTCGTCTCCTCCGCGTCACCATTTTGGAGAGTATCCACTGAACGTAAATTGTGTATACTGTTTTGTGTCAGCTGCGCCACGTCGATACGTTGTTTTCGTTCAAATCAAAGAAAACGTATCCACATGGCGCAGCATGACATAAATGTATTTCAAATACATTTAAGTATATTTATTTTCACTATGGTATATATAGAAATGTTTGTGTTCTCCCTCTATTGTCACTGTGTACTAGAAAGTTATTTGTCTGCCCACTAAGCAGCGACACATGGCATTTCTGAGAATCAAATTAAGTAACTGTCACTGGAACCACATGATAAAGGGGCATCTTTGCTATCTGGCTGATCCTGATCATCTGTAAGCTGTGACAACCATTAAACAAAAGTAATCAAAACAACCCAAAACAAACTCTAGCTGTACCCAGCCTACGTAGGAGTTTTAAAGGCTCTTCAATGAATCCCCTGCATTTTCTTGTCAAATGTGACATCTTATACAAGACAAACAAGTTTTATCACTGTGAATCTATGAAAAGCTATCACTCCATGGACATCAGTTCTAATCCTGATATCACGTCATATCTTGTTGTGACATGTAACATGGTTTTCAACTTATGGTTGGATTTCAGTTTTTTTTTTTCCTTGAATTTTTTACTTAAATTAACCAAGGGACATGTTATAGCTTGGGGATGCCAAATGTGAATAAAGACTAACTTGAAATCATAAGTCAAGTCGAAACCTCCTTTGACACATGATCAGTCACTGTCTAATAGGCAGGACAGTCTGTAAGCTTTGGCTCCTGGGAAAATGTACATGAAACGAACAACCTGACAGGTAAGAATGACATTTGATTTCTCCAAGTTTGAAAGGGAGAAGGTTCTGACTAACTTTTATTCATGTTTGTGCATGATAGTAGTTAGTGCGAATATGTTCTAGAACATATGGATCTGAGGAATGTGGGGGGAGATCAGCAACAGTTAATATGAAAATCGTTGGAGAGAAGCAATTTAGACAAAATTACATCTTACTATAAAACCACAGTCACTACACTGGGGTAGAGGAGACTATGAAAGTTTAAAAAGTCTAACAGTTTAAAAAGTCACATCATTCATTGTGAGATTTAAAGTCAAATAGGTAGATATAAAATCACATTGGTATATATAAGGTCACATTATGTAATAAAAGTTACAATTGGAAGAAATAAAATTGTGATTATGAGGCATTGTGGCAATTACTTTTTTGAGGTGTAAACAGGCTTTAAAAACATCTTATATTCACTGAATAATATATTGCAGACAAGAATGTATAAATTGATGGCCACTTCAGAATTGCTGCAAATAAATAAGCTTAAGCGTGATAATTGTTGCCATGGATATGCTCACTAGGGAGTGCCAACAAATTTTGTTGAGCATGAACAGAGACACAGTAAAGATATAAAAATAATTTAGGGATTCAGGGACTGAGAACCCGCCTGAAGAGAAGAACATACCAGACAGCACACGAGGAGGCAGATCACTATCACTAAGAGCATCAAAGAAAACCAATTAACACAGTGTGAAAAGAATAAAGCTTGCATAAATCCACTTCTACTATAGCAAGGCAACCCGCAAAGCAGATTTTGGAAATCACTCAACTACTGCACACAACCTTTGGCCAAATAATGGACTGCTTTTTAAAAGAGAAACTGTGGCCAAATAATGTGGTATCATGTGAGTCTCACCTGAAACCGTCACCCTCATTGTAGCCTCAAGCGGCCTGTTGTTATCCAAGTCCTTGCTCAGCTTTAGCTCCCCAGTGTCTTGATTGAGAATCAGCAGGTTGAGCTCATTTCCCTCAACAAATGTGTAGAGGAGCTTGTCGGACACGTCTGGATCACGAGCAGGCACCTTCCCAATAACTCCTGTGGGAAAGCTGCTGGACTTATTGGTAATGTAGTTGTTGAAAATGATCTCAAAATCCTGTAGAACTGGGATGTTGTCATTGACATCTACTAGGAGGACATGTACAGTGGCCCGGCTGACAAGCGGGGCTGAAGTGGCCTGGACCACTATTATATACTCCATCTTGGTCTCAAAGTCTAGGTCAGTAAGGGCGATTAGATCTCCGCTAAAGATGTCGAGCTGGAAGACTTCAGGAATATTGCCCTCTACAATCTGGTACAGGATCTGGGCGTTGGTACCTTCATCTGGGTCTGTGGCACTTACGCGGGCAAGAGTGGATCCTACTGCACTGTTTTCCTCCACGTAAAAGTACAATTCGTCCTTCTCAAACACAGGGGCATTGTCATTTATGTCCAGCACAGACACATGAATGTCCACAGCTGCTTTGAGAGGGGGCACTCCTTTGTCCACCGCAAATGCCTTGAGGCTATACAATGCAACATTTTCCCTGTCTAGCTTGCGGGCCGTTCTGATGATCCCAGAATAAGGCTCAATAAAAAAGTCCCCCTCACCATCATCCCCTCCCTGAAAGGTGTAGCTGAGTCGACCGTTAGATCCAGAGTCTCTGTCTGAAGCGGATACCTGGAGTACACTTGTGTATACTGGTGCATCCTCAAACACTGTTCCCTGGTAGATGTCCCGGAGGAACTGGGGTGCATTGTCGTTGGCATCAAGAACAATGATCTCTACATAGGTTGTGTCTGATTTCTGGGGGATGCCGTTGTCTCGGGCAATGATGGCTAGCGTGTAGGAGGCCTGATCTTCATAGTCGATCTCAATTTGAGTCGTGATGGCACCAGTGTCAGGATCAATTTTGAACTGTGGCACATTGTCCTCCATTACATAAGTGATGCGGGCGTTTTCACCAGTGTCTTCATCAGTGGCACTGATGACCACGACTCTGGAGCCTACGGGTCGGTCCTCGCTCACTAAAACCTGGTAGTTGGCACTTTGAAATACTGGTCGATGGGTGTTGGCATCAGTCACATTAATGAAGACTTGAGCTGTGTCGTGGCGCGTACCATCCGAGGCAGTGATTGTTAAGAGATACTGCCGTTCTTGCTTGTAGTCCAGAGGTAGCGCTAAAGTAATAAGTCCCCCTCCGCTCTGGCTGGTAATAGCAAACCTGTTCCGAGTGTTCCCACTAGATATTTGGTATGTGACCACGCTGTTTACATCCCTGTCTACAGCAGTGACTGTAAGCACACTGGTGCCCACAACTGCATCCTCATTGACTTTTAGGTTATACAAGTGCTGCGTGAAGGTTGGGACATTGTCGTTTACATCTAGTATAGTGACACTTACACTAGCTGAAGATGACATTGTAGGAACCCCGTGGTCTCTGGCCTCAACACCAAAATTGTAAAACTCTGTAGTCTCCCTGTCCAGCTCAGCACTAACTGTAATCCATCCGGTGTTGTTATTGATAATGAATGGGAAACTAGGTGATGTATCGGTCAGCTTGTATTCCAAATGAGCATTGTCACCTGAATCAGCATCGATAGCTTGGATGTGTAACACAGAGTAACCTACAGGAACATTTTCTAACACTGAGGCTTGAAAAGGCGTGCTGACAAACATGGGTGCATTATCGTTGACATCTAACACTTGGATTGCAACCATACCTGTGCCATTAATAAGAGGCGGCCGTCCTCCATCTTGAGCTTTCACTCTCAGTGTGTACTCTCTTATCATCTCATAATCTAAAGGGCTGATAACATCAATGATTCCCGTAGGGGAGTGTATGTAAAACTGTCCCTTTATATTCCCATTGATGATGCTGTAATGCACTTTCGCATTATTTCCAGCATCTTTATCCGTAGCCTTCACCACAGCCACTTGAGAGTTCACGGCTATGTTTTCAGGAACTTGAACTACATATCGCTTTTCGCTAAACTGAGGGTAGTTATCATTCTCATCCTCTATAAAAATGTGCACCGTGGCTGTGGCGGTACGTGGCCCGGGCTCTCTGCCCTGGTCGTTAGCTTCAACAAAAAGCCTATACTGGGTTTTGACTTCTCTGTCTGGTCTGACTCTGGCTTTGACCAACCCATTTCTTGGATCAATTTCAAAGTAAGCGTTCACCTCTTCATCATTCACAATCTTATAAATCATATTGGCATTAGAGGGCGCATCTCCATCTGTAGCCCTAATAGTCATCACCTCAAAGCCTACTTCAACATTTTCTCGAATACTAACCCTATACTCATTCTGTTCGAAAACCGGCGCGTGGTCGTTAGTATCACTGACTGTAATAGTGAGGTAGGCGATAGCTGATCTTTTAGGGGTTCCTCTATCAGTAGCAGTAACTTTAAACACATGAGTGTCTTTAACTTCCCTGTCTAGAGGCTGTAGAGTAGTTATACCTCCCGTCTCAGGGTTAATTTGAAATAAATTGTTAGAGCGGCTGTCAAAAAGAGCTTCCATATCGTATTCGATAACACCGGCGTCTCCGTCATCGGCGTCGAACGCTTTGAGGGTAATGACTCGCGTTCCTGAGGGCTCATTCTCTGGCACCGATACATGGTAGTTTGGGAGCTGAAACTGAGGAGCGGAGTTCACGTTTCTTTTTTGACGTTTAGCCCACGGGTCTAATTCACTGCCAGTGTGTTCTCTGCTTAAATGTAACTTAACATCTACAAATAAAGAGCTATTTAGTGAGTTAGGCATTAAACAAAGCACATTTGCCTCATCTCGCTGCTTATGAGGTAAACAGAGGTTCGCGCCTGTGAGGGAAATAACACGCCGCTGGTCTTTCTCTACGCACCTACCGCGAAACATTTGGGAATTCTGCATGGATACAGGCAAACGTTCGTAAATGTTGATGGGTAAGGAGTCCAAAGAAAAACATGTCTCATACCCAGTCAACAGATACATGTAGGCATCTGGATTAAGATTTTTTCTTTTGTATTTGATGAAGCAGTTCTGACCATGCACGAATGTATTGAAATGAAGCAGTATGAAGTTTTCCGAAAGCAGTGATTTAATCCGCAAATACAGTGGCACGGGATTTCTCGGTAAACGAGTGCAGTCAATTTTGCGCGCGACAGATAGCAGCCCATCACTTCTCCCGATCTTCACGAAGTGTCGTAAAGACTTATCTGTTAGACTTCTGTCGATTCTGTACGTCCATTCTGGTCCGATTGATACATTTGCCAGTGTTGCACCAGGCTGGAGGGACCCTGATAGATGCAAATCCACGCATCCAAACGGTGGGAGATTAATAAGTAATCCAAAGCACATCCATATCAGTGGTAATTCCATGGCTCACGCGCATCTCATTCGGAAAATTATTCCAAACGATCCAGAACGTCTACAGTCCGCAAAATTCCAACCATTCCTGTAACGTGAAAGTGCACATTGGGTCAAGGCATGTTTCTGTGTGCTGAGCAGCAGGGACCAGAGAGCTGCACTGACAAGTTTTAATGAGTAAAACGGCTCTTCTCCCTCCCCTCCCACAACAATTTGCATGGACCTACTCATGCATTGTGATTTTGAAATAGGCTATCCAATGAGCTCAACCGAAAAGCTTTCATTATTGGCTATCAAAGAACAATGTTTTAAATTTAAATGTAAAATTAAAAATGTTATCAATCCACTTTTTCACGTTGTGAATTCTTCTTTAAATTTTCCTTTAATGTAAAGGTTTGTAATGTATTTCTAAAGACTGACTCAAGAAAAAAGTAAAAAAAAAAATTGTGTAGGCTAATACACATAGGCAACACACAATTTTTTTTTTTTTCAAATTTCCATAATCATTTAGCCTACATATTTTTAGCCACGTTGTCAAAAGCCTACTTTTCAACTTACTCTGTTTATGTACAACAATGTACACACTATTTTAAAATCATATTATTATTCTAATACATTAAGCATTAAATAAAATACCCTTATATTTTAGTAGCCTACTTAGGCTATGCTTTTTTATTGATCTGTATTACTAAATGATCTGATTTCCTGAAAACGTGCTGAAATACCTTTTGTTTATCCCGAGGAAATAGATTTCATGTTCCAGTCTTCTTTCTCATTACACAATATAAAACGGCATGAAATGGAATTTAGTTTACATTTACCCACATAAGATAAAACAGGGTTTGATATGATAGTAGCAGTGATCTAGTCTTGGTTGAGTACTGTACGCCCCCTTGTGCATATTTCTGTTATTTAGTAACATTACTCTCACCACCTCTATATCTTTTGGTTTGCCTACAGCGGCCACATTAAGTATTTGCCACACCTAATGTATGAATAACACAATAACATATCAAACAAAGCGACAATTATTGTAAAGAAAAATAGCACAATAACACACAGTAAGAAAATACTGCACAAAGATGTTTTCAGGCCTTAAAGTAAAAAAAAAAAGAAAAAAAAAAGACACTTACTGTCTTACCAAAAAATGAAGACATTAGCGGAAGATGTCTGTAGTCTAATATTATGAATTATTCCTGTGGTTACTCTGCTAGTCAGTACTTGAGAGGAACTTACTTGATGACAAATGACTTTTACCTAGCTGGTCCCGAAGTAATTGGGGGAAAATGTCTAAATCAGTCAAATTAGTTCTGAGAAAAAAAAACTCTACAATAATTTATTTGATATACGTGTTGCTTAAGTGTCTAACTTTCTGGAGACATTACTCATCAAATCATGGTTGATAAGATGGAAGAAAAGTGAAACATTGCAAAGTGGACTGGAATACACATTTTCTGTCCATTAAGGACAAAAAAAAATACACAAACCTTTACAAATGTGATTTTCTCTCAGCATAACCAATAACGTGCTCTGAACACATTTCTTCACATACTGCTGAATTTTGATGAAAATTGACTTAAGCCTGAAATACACTACACAACTTTTAAAAGCAGTTTAAAAAGACATAATACACTTGCCAAATAGAGAAAAATTGTGCATCATACACTAAATGACAGATGATCACATGCTAACAGACTTTCAGATCATTCTGAACACAACAAACTCGTGCAGAAACACTCGTCTCATTACCAGGAGATGCATGACTAATGAAAACAAAATGTGTTATAAAATCAGCTCAAAATAATGTTTGATATCTTCATGGATGAAATCAAAGTCTGAAACTAAAATAAAAGATCAGATTCTGCGACCATCATACACTACACGATTTTCTGTGAAATCTGTCAACTCAAATCTGCGGACTGGCTCCGACTTTTAGCAAATAGCATGTACTCGTCCAGACTGTAAAAGTTATGTAATATATTCCAGCCTTTATAAACCCAAATGATAATTATTCAAGGGATAGTTCACCAAAAAATGAAAACTCTTCCCAAATACCTCCCGCATATCTTAGTTGGCGTTTCATGGTTTGAAATGACATAAGGGTGAGTAAATGACAGAATTTCATTTTTTGGGGTGAATTATCCCTTTAACTTTGTGCCCAGAAGTAATGAATGTCAAACCAAAAATCTAAACAGAATTCAAGTTTCATTTATTGCAGTTGTTGGATACAACATTATGTAAATGTTTCAAACAAAACTGTTAAATTCTTCCAACCAAAAAAAAAAAAAAATATTTTTTTTCCTCCCCACTCAACTATTCATTATTCCATGGAACCTCCCTGAATGAGGGACATTAGTACAAAAATGCCCACAATGGGTATCATCATATTGTAAGTTATCAGTGAAAACAAACAGCCCAGGCAGCTTAGTGTTGTTTCTGACTAGATATGGTCAAACTGTCTGATAGAGCCGACAAAGCCAGGATACTACTGGTAATACGGTCTATATCGTGACTGGTCGGGGTGGTGAGGCCCTGGCATCTGTCCCTGTGGTGGCGGCCCCTGCATACGGGGTGGATGGGGGCCACGAGGATTGGGCCACATCCCCGGGCTCATGGCGCTTGGTTGGGTGAAAGGTGGGCTAAGAGTGCCTTGGTCCTGTGGCATTGAGTTTGGGTTGTAGTGGTGCGCACTGACCGGGGGAATGGGACCAGGTGGAGGGTGATTCATGTAGGGTGGCAACTGGCTGATGATGTGTCCGGGTGGAGGTGGCGTTGACATGGGAGGTGCTTGGTTGTAAACCATGTGAGGTGTAGCTGAGCCCTGCGGCGGGTGCTGCATGGGGATGCTGAGAGGGGGCGGCGGTGGCCCGTAATGTGGTTGTTGTGGTGGAGGCATGATATGATGTGGGTGGGACACCACTGGTTGGCTAGAGTAATCACCACGGTGATGGTGTGGAGGCGGGCCAGGAGGGGTCTGTGGGTGAGGCTCACGGGGGGAGGGGCCTGAGCTCCCAGAGTCATCATGAATGGGCACTGTGATGAGGTTGCTATGCTTACGTGTAGTCACTGTGGCGATTCGGAAGGTCTCTGGGGGGAGGGGCCGTGGGGAGGGTCCCAGATCAGAGGGCGAGGCTGGAAGTGGATGGTTGTAGGTATCATGGCCTTGCAGAGGGGGAGGAATGAGAGGGTGTGTTTTAGCCAGGTGAGGAGGCGGCAGAAACCGGAAGCGGTCTGGTGGGTCGGAGGCCAGAGTCGGGTGTGGCGGATCCAGGCGAGAGGATCCAGTCTTGCTGGCCCTCATGTGGCGATGGTTGATGTGGGCCTGCAGGTCTCGCTGTGAGAGGTAGGTGCGTTTGCAGCCTTGCACGATACTGCACATGAAGAGGGAGCCACGCTGGCACTGCTCAATGCGCTGGACTGGGTCTGAGCAGCTGTAGAGGGACAGACTGAACTTAAGATTTAGTATGGGAAGTGGACTTAGATACACATATTACTTATAATATTACATATTATGATTTCCATTTAGATCTGGAGATATTTACATCAAGAATGAAGAAAAAACCTGCAATTCACATTGCCCTCTAAAAGATTAGAAACACCCTAGGCAAAGTTTTTGGACAGTATCAGCATAAATTCACATAATTTATTGGCATAAATATATCATAGTAACTTCTACCTAAGCAATTATCATTTAATTTTCTTTTTGATTATATAATAATGGCAGTATATACAGGTCATATTGAGACTGTGATGCCTGATTACTGGAGAAATTTAGGTACAGGTTTACTTGATGGACATTTAAGGTTAGTACACAACAGACTAATTAAACACAGCTTGCTATAATGTTTTAATATTTTTGGAATTCATCCATTTTTGGTTTCCATAAGCATCTCCAGATTTACACTCAAATTTTTCCTCTTTGTTATAGTTGAAAAGGCTCTGAAGATCGCAAATAAATTCATAATTAACAGAAGGCAAAAAATCTATTACAGACAGAACAAAATTTCTGATTTATTGGTATCTGACTCAAATCTGCTTTGTTGTTTGAAGTCCAAACAGCAAACAAAAGCACAACAACAGTTACGCACTGATATTAAAATTCTAGCTATGAGCCAATTTTATTTTTATTTAATGGCTAATAACTGACAAATGAACAATTTTTTAATTCTATAATATTTTGTATAGATAAAAAAAAAAAAAAAAAAACTTTAGTATTTAAAACTAAAATCAATCATTATAAATGCTACAAGTCAATTTAGGCATCACAGCATTATAATGTGTTTGAGATTTGGTAAATACTAAATTTAGCAGTGTTATTAAATTAATATAAATTGATGAATGAAATTATTATTATTTTAACTGAGCATTATGTGATACATACATATCAACCAATTAAAACAGCTTAGAAATGCTATTGTTTTTTTTATTGTTCTACTACGAGTGTACTGTACTAGTTTTGTTGTTTTATTGTTCTCAGTTAAATAACAAAACAAAAAATAGCCATCACAAAAAAAGATTTATGCCAATATTGTCGAAAATCCCATTATGACCAAAAATAATTTAATACTAAAATCAGTCCGGAAAAATCTGAAAAATTGTATATATCATGACATCTCTTCTGGAAAATCAACCTAAAAATGTTTTATAATTATGATAACAAAAATATAAAACTAGATAATTTGCCTATTTTTGGTAATCTAGTGAGTTAAAAAATTATTTAATTAAACATAGTTTACATTTAATTATTTTTATGTGAAAATTAATGGTCGCAAAACCAAAATAACATTAGACATAAACATAAAACCCCTGCTTTATATTTTGTAAATCACTCACAACTACATAAACGAGACTGGATGAGCTACATTCAAAATCGCTGCATAATAGTCGATAGAGACACACCTGTGACCACACATCAGTTGAATTCTACAGTACATCAGTGTGCCAAACTACACCACATCTATAACGTAAGTGGTGGATCAAAACTAAACTATTTTCAATATTATCAACTAACACCTAAAACAAACATTCTTAAATTATGATTTATGATATTAATTATGATAATAAAGATGTTCTAATTAAATAAAGCTTGCTGAATGAGTATCGTTTTCATATCAAAATCCACTCTATGGATTTTTTTCA